TGCAGCCTCACCTTTGGACTCCCACCCCCGCACCCCCCGCTGTTTCAGGGGCTCAGGTTTTCAATGATTACTTCCTGCGGGATAGGCCGGGAGGAAGCGGCCCTGGGAGCGCAGGGACCCCACTTACACCTTCCTGGTGCGGGGGCGCAGCCTGCGGAGCGCCTGCGGCACCTGCTCGGTGTCGTAGGTCGACTGGTAGAAGAAGATGCGGACGTCTTCGTCCATCAGCACCCAGATGGGCAGGCTCAGGAGGGCCTGCGTTGGGGAAAGCACAGGGCAGGGTGGGGGCGTCAGGACGGCCTGGGCATCGCAGCCCAGCTGCTCCGTCCCTCAGCCCCACCCAGGACCCCCCTCTCCTCTGCCTGGCAACAGAAACGAGATACATTTCAGCGATTTCAGTGGCTAAAGGAACACTTCCCAAGCTTTGCTCCCAGGCTCAAGGTCAAGGGGGGGCCAAATGGCTGGAGAAGAGTTCATTTAGAAAAGACCAAAGGCCTCCAGACAGGACAGCAGAGGGTGCCAGGGAGCAGGACAGGGTGCTGACCAGGCACTGAGGGCTGTGCCATGTGACCTCACGTGATTTCACAGGGACCTGGGCTGTAGGATCAGAAAGGCGAAGGGGCCTGCCTGAGGCCACACAGCTTAGCAAGTGACAAAGCTGGGGCACCCAGGGCCATCTGCCGCTGAAGACCATCCCTTAGATCAAAATGAGATGATATGCAGGAGGAATCCCCCAAATAACCCAAATTAACAACAGTTGGTGAGATGACCTAAAAAAACACTTCTTGTACTTCATCGCATATCACAATTGGGGAAACTGAGGCTAAGAGAGGGAAAGTGCCTGGCCCAGTTGGCAGAGCTAGGAAATGGTGGGGTCAGGACTCTCATTTGATGTGAGGCAAAGACCTTGAGGCGTGAGGACCCAGGCCTGGCAGGGTCACCTCCAAGATGCACACTGCGCAGATCCCTACCCTCAGTCACATACCACACAGGCCCCCAGGAGCACTGTGGTTAGCTCTGGGAGCTGAAGCCCCACAGGCACCCAGAATCCAGGCACCCTCAGAGAATCCCAAGGAGGCAGCAGGACAGGAGGGGCCTGGAACACCACCCCAGAGGAGCTGGGAACACAGAGCCTGAGAAAGACGTAGCTATTGTAGGCGAGGGCTGGAGGCAGTGTCAGAATGCACAGACACCGAGCCAGGCTGCGCCCGGGATCGAATCCCAGCCCTGCCACTCACCAGCGAGGTGACCCCGGGCCTTCATGTGTTCACTAATAAACTGGGATGAGAGCAGTATCTCCCTTGTGGGATGGTGTAAGGATTAAATAAATGAGTATGTGCCCAACGCTTAGAACCACACTGGGCGTCTACCAAGTGACCCGTCCAAGTGAGGTGTCACCATTGTTGCTGTTATTTTTATTACTACATAGCACAGTGGGTAAGGGCACAACCCTAGAGTCTCAGGGATGTGAGTTCAAATCCCATCCCTCCTACCTAACTGCTCTGTGACCCTGGGTGAGCAACTCCGCCTCTCTGTGCCTCCTGTCCTCATTTTAACACCTTGCTGACCCACTATTTCGAGCCAGAACTTGCCCGTGCACCCGGCTACTTCTCTGCTCTTATAAAACTCGACATTGCTTTCAGACCTTAAGATGACTTAAACTATGTAAGTGCAGACACGAGTCATCTCAGCAACGTTTGGACATGGAAACACGAGTGTACTCGTGACCGGTCAGCAAGGTGCTGGGATAATGGTATCTAACTCACAAGTTACTGAGGGAACTAAATAAGCCCATTCACTTTTCTGGCTAATGCATATCAAGAGCCTCCCTGTTGTTAGTCAAAGTGCTCCACATAGTTCCAGGCCATTGTCATTATCACATGACCCATGTTCTCCATTAGGACAGAGGTGAGACCGGAGGGAATCAGGCTTTTCTAATAACTATCCAACAATGGGACCAGCAGCCTGGGTCAGGGAGAGGGGTAGTGAGCTTCCCATCTCTGTAGGTGTGCAAGCACAGGATGGGGTGACCAATAGCAGAGATTCCTGCACTGATTGACCTCTGGGCTTCGAGGAATCAAACTGGACACAGCTAGGCAGAGATGGGGTCCTCCAGGCTGCCAGTTGCTAAGATCAGTGTGGGGTGAAGCCTCTTCTCCTTCCCTCCAGAGCACACTCTCCAGCTCTTTGAGAGGAGGGTGGAGCTTTCAGCCGCCCTGAGGGAGCAGCTGTCGCAGAGCCCCCTAGAGGGGAGATTCCTGCTGCCCAAAAGTGGGCAGCCGGGCCACCTGCTCCCTCCTCCCACCCCTTCACAGAACTAGGAGTCATTAGCTCTCATTTCAGGAAGCAGGCTCACAGTTTCCAAAGCACTTTCACGTTCTTTTCTCAATGGATCTCAGTGCCACTCTTATGAGACCAGAGAATGGGAGGCACTGCTGCACTTCATAAGAGGGAAGCCATAGCCCAAGGAGGATGGGCAGCTCGCCCCACATCACCGAGACAGGCAACGCTGGAGCAAAGACTAAAGCGACTCCCAGCTCGGTGCTTCAGCCATGAGAGTAGAAGAGCATGCCTCTGGGCTATGAGGAGAGCTTCCTTCTCTAGGTTCCTGACGTTGCCATTAAGCATGGCTTGTATGCCTCTAGTGGCAGCGTGCTCACTACCACATGAGGAACATTGTCCCTTTCTTGTCTAGTTCTGTTTGATGAAAGGCCTTTCCTGGACAGCCTGGTCTCTGCCTTTAAATTGCTCCTTCCTCTGTCTTCCCCATCTCCTAGGGATACAGACAAAATACAGGTTGGGGGATAAACAAGGGCACCCATTCAAGGCCCGGGAACGCAACTAATATCCAGCCTGTGCCCTGGCAAGGGGCCTTTCTCCAGTTCCCACAAACATGCTGTGTGAGAGAGCTGGGGCCCTGGCCCATCGTGCCCCCTTATGTAGGCCGAGCCTCTTTGCGATTTTATGACCCACCTGACCATGTTCCACTGGGCAGGGGGCACCTTGGAGGCAGGCCCTGGGCCCCATTCACCTCTGTATCAGAACTCCCGGCACAAACACTGTATTTGTCCTTTCAAAGTGTGGCTGCTCATACCTTCTCCACTGAGCCTACGACAACCCACCCCTGGCACCCTGCAGGCCCGGCCTTTGAGGATGGAAGGTGTAGACAATCCAAGCCAGAGAACCGGCCCCAGTTCCCAGAGCCATGCTCAGACATGGTACCTGGGCTACACGCCGTGCCCTCCCAGGTGCCAGGGTGGCACGGCCCCGCCCTTACCTTCATGTAAGCGTTGAGGGCCGGTATGCGCATCTCCGCGATCTCCTGTTTCACACCCATGTAGACCTTGGCTGAGGAGAGGCAAAGAGCTGTCCTGGGACCCCCACCCAAGAACATGGCCTCTGGGCTCCTCCCCTCATCTTTCCGCAGGTGCTGAGGTGGCTGCTCTGCACCATCCCCATCCAACTTGCCCTCTCTGAGCTGCAGTATCGCCAGCTGATGTTTTTCTTGTTGTAATTGTTTCTGTGGTGCCTAACTGCCCCCACCACACACACACACACACACACACACACACACACACACGCAGCTCTTAGCTCCAGAAGAACAGGACCTTTGCTTTGCTCAGGCTGTGCCCCATCACCCAGGAGAGTGGGCCTCAGCAATCTCACTGCACTGGACTCACCCCAGAGCAATTGAGTCAGGACCCCTGGGGGTGGGGCCTGGGCATCAGGATATTTTAAACAAGTGGGTTCCAATATGCCACCACGATTAAGAACCACAGGTCTAGAATATCGCCCAAATCAACAGATATTTGGTGAGTGGGTGAGTGAATCACTCTGATAAAGCAAGACCGAGTGTTTGCGGGGAGAGGGACACTGACGCTGGCTGACTGGAGACAGAGGTCCTCTCCAGGAGCCTCAGGCTGGGCCTGGGAGGACTACGTACCCAGAGATACCCCCACCACCCCAGAAGGGAGCCGTGGACCTCTAGGGAGACACTGGGGGAGCAGCCGGTGAGGTAGAAAGGGAACTGGAAGACACGGGTGCCACAGAAGCTTGGAGAGGGCTTCCTGGAAGAGGAGCCATGACAATAAAGACGAGGCCTGAGAGCTGTCTGCGCCCACCGACATCCCAGCCAACAGGTCACAGCATTTCTCTCGCAGGGCTCAAGCAGGCAGGAGCTGAGAAGTCGGAGGTTTGGGCTTGTCCAAGGTGCAAGTTAGGCTCGAGTTGGGAGGAAGGCCAGGAGGCAAGGGGTGAGGGGACAGCCTCTCAGCAGAGCAGGAGCCATGGGCACCGGGAAGGAGAGGAGCCATGGGCACCGGGAGGGGCCAGGACTGCGCAGGTAGAGGGCAGTTCTCGTGGAGGGGCCAGCGGGAGGGCTAGAAGAGGAGCTGGTGTGTTTGACTAGGGGGACACGCACGCCTGACTCGTGTGCTCCACACCATGGCCACGGCCACTGGCGGGTGGCGGAAGCCGTGAGGGTCACGGGAGTTTAGGAAGTCAAGGACCGGGAGGCTAGGAGTTAGAGGGCAGCCCGTGACCGCAAGGAGGGGGGCATGGGCTCAATGTACGCTGTCACTTAGTCTAAAACGGGACGACTGGACAGCGTCAGCCAAGCTGGAAGGGGAGCCAAGGGACGCGGTTGCGTCCTGGGCCGGGGGCCCGGCTGTGCCTGCGGCTGGACGGCCCGGCGCTACCTGGGAGGGCCGGCAGGCTGCAGGGGAAGGGGCCGGTCCTGCCCTCCGGTCCGTACCGCTCCTCCAGCTTGCTCTGCAAGGCGTAGAACTGGCGGTAGCGGCGGTAGATGAGGTACTTGGATCCCCCTTTCGTCTTCACCTCAATGACGAACACCTAGGACAGAGGCCAGGGGGTAGGAGCTCGGAGGCCAAGGGCAGAAGAGGGAGAGGTTCGATGTCCGAGGGTTACAGTGGGGCTTCTTGACCTCCGAGGGACGTTTGGTGCCAAATAATCCTTTGCCGTGGGGCGTCCTGTTCGCTGTAGCATGTTAGGCAGCATCCCCGGCCCCCACCCACTGGGTGCCAGCAGCATCCCCACCCCACGTGGTAATAATAAAAAATGCCTGAAGGTATTTACTGCCAGATGTCCCCTGGAGGGCAGAATCGCCCTGCCGAGAACCACTGGGTAGAAGTTAAGAGATGGGAGAGGTGAAGGTTCAGAGGTCAGAGGTGAAGGTCCAGGGGTCTCTCTTACAAAGTGGCTGGTGAAGCCCCTCTTCTCCTCGATGTCCGCGATGTTGGCTGAGACTGCGACATCATCAGGAAGCTGTTCAAAGTCGCTGAGGGAGGAAAAGAAGCCCTGGTCACCGCCCTGAGCCGTCCGGTGGGCCCACTGGGTGTGAGGCAGTGTGCAAAGCAAATCCAGGGTGTGCTCGGCACTGCTCGTTCAGCGCCCCTTCCCCGGGGGGCCAGGCCAACACGCAGACCAGGCCTCCAGGGTGAGGGACATGTACCAACAGCCGTGTTACAAGCTAGCAAATCACTTTGCGGCTGCATGATCCATCCAGGACCAGAGGCTGGCCAGGCAGAGGAGGGTCTCTGGTGCTGAGCTAAGAAAGCTCTACGGGCAATAGGAAGCCATGCAAGGCTTCGGAAGAGAGTGAAAACACAATCTGATCCGGCTTCAGGAGGCCAACTGAGGCACCTGCATAGAGAAGAAAGGAGGGCAGAGACTTGAAGGGACAGAACACCACTGGGAGGCTTTGAAATGCTCCAACTGAGAGATGACAGACAGACACCTTTTCATTTGTTGTGTTCCCTGTTCCTTCCTGCTAATCAGCTCCAGTTTTGTTCAGGGTGGCCGTGTGCCTAGCTCCAAGGTGACAGATCATGCTTGGGTTGAGCCAAACATAAAAGTCCCATGCCTGCCTTCCAGCCTCTTTTGCAGCTAGGAGTAGCCACGTGGCCGGTTTTGGCCAACGGGACCTAAGAGGGAATCTACAGCAGGGGGCCTATTGGAGAGTTTGCTTTCCTGATCCAGAGAGATGGACAAGCCAGCATGGTTTCTTCCCTTTCTCCCTTCTGCCTCTCTTGAAGGCAACCGTGACATCTGGACCTGTAGCAGCTACATTGCATTCCTGAGGCAAAAACATGTAGAAGACCAAGGGAGTCTCTGGGATGCTGGTCCTGAAGTCACTGAGCTGTGGAACCAGATATGAACCTCTGAGCTTCTTGTTATGTGAAAAAAACAAACCCGTTTGTTTAAGCTATTATAGTTCCTCTGTTCTCTGCAGGCTTATGCATTTCCAATGGACACGTTCCTGAGTTACGACCGCCAGGGTTTGGCGACTGTTTCGATGTGGAGGTAAAAGAAATAGCAGCGTCCAGAGTGACACCCACGTGTCACCTGTATTCTGACCAGGATAGTGGGAGGGGAGCAGAGTTGATGGACTCAATTTCAGGCCAATTTGAGAGGTCTCTTGGGCACCCAGGTCAAGGCCCAGCAAGAGCTGGTGTGTGGTTCTGGAGCTGGGTCGGAACATCTCAGCTGCAGTGGGAGGGGTAAGAACCATGTGGCTGAGGCTGTGGCTAAGACCCCAGAGAAGAGCAGTGAGCAGAGGAAGGGCCTGGAGTGACAGGTGGAGGGAGAGAAGACAGACAGCCAATGAAGCGGAAGAAGTCGCCAAGTCCAGCCACTTGTGGACAGATGAAGAAACTGGAAGCAATTACGACTCTATATTGCAGCAATTAGGAAACAGGGAGGGAGCTGGGGGGCAGGGGCCCCCTCATCTGAAGCCTCAGAGCTTGCCAAGACTTCAGGAGAAAACGGTGTCAAAGTCTACACACCCAGGCCCAGCCCCCACTGGTTCCCACGTGACCTGGGCTGCTTGGGATCCCAGGCTACCTTGGGACACAGACATACAAGGCTGCCATCCGGAGGTGACTCAGGGTGGCAGTGGGCAGGCAGAGGAAATCCCCAACACTCCCATAGTACCTTGGTGGCCACAGGCAACCTCCCCACTCACTTTCTACACATGCCCCTATGGTGACACCCATGGAGAAGCTTCCTCCTTCACCTTCTCCCCTGAGGCTCCGCATTTCATGGGTATTTCATCTGCAATGTGATGAGAGTAGGGCAGGAAGGAACCAGGGGGGTAAAAAGAGCCTTGAGCGGCGAACCCGACAGGCTGGGTAATAGTAACCTTGGCCAACTATTTCCTGAGCGCCCACTTTGCACCAGGCACTCTTCTAAGACGGTGTCCCCTTGTTACAGACAAGGAAACTGAGGCACAGACAGGTTAACAGGCTTGCCCAAGTAAGTCTAGAGGCTGTGCAGTCCCTGGTTTGAAGCAGGAACTTACATGAATCCCAGCCCTTCCCAGCCTCAGGTGCCCCTCTGAGTAGCAACAGCCAACCCCTGTAAGCGCCCGCAGCACCTCAGACGGTTCCGAGCACGTTAGGACACGGCCTCTGCCACCTGGTCTCACGGCTGCGTGGAGGAGCTGGTCACTAACAAATAGTGACAGATTTGCGATGGGCATAGGTGCTATAAAGGAAAAGCACCGGCGTTTTGAGCTGCAGCAGGAGCCCGGCCATTTGCCCCGTCCCTCAGAGTCAGTGTGCAGTGGGCATGAGAGCTTGGGAGCAGACACTTCTGGGGGGAGGTCACGTCCATCTGTCCCTCAGAGAGAAAAGCAGGGGCGCTGTGCACGGGTGAGGGCCAGGCTCGCTCAGACTGAGGGTGGTCAGGAGAGCTTCTTCTTCCTCCCAGAAGCCTCCTTAACCAGAAGGAAAAGAAATGAGGAGCTGGCCACAGGATGACAGGCAAGGGAAACATTGAGAGCCAAAGGCCCTGCAAGGGGGGCAAGTCCAAGGATCTGCCGTGGGAAAGAGGGTCGTCTGAGTGCATCTGAGCACAGAACTGGAGGGAGAAAGTGATGAGACAGGAGGCCGGTGAGGCCGGCGGGGTCCACACACCAAGCGCCCTGTGCCTTGCCCTGGGGTGGGGGGAGTGAAGAAAGCGCTCCAGGGGGCAAGGAGGCCAATGACCCAGGACCTGGCTCTGGGGCCATCCTCCTCTGAGGGGCGAGGGCAGCTGTAAAGGGCATCAGCCGGCCTGAGTGGGACAGAGCAGGAGGGCACCGGTGTTAGAGGGAGACCCGGATCCCTGCTCTGCAGGTGCCAGCAGGGGCCTTGGGAAGGCTCCTCTCTGTGCTCTGGCTCCTCCCCTCTAGGACATGGGGACCATAGATGCAGGTACGTCCCAGGAGGGTCAGGAGGCCCCACTGGAACAAGCACAGCCCGGGAAGCTCCGCAGGAGCAGGGACCTTGCCCTCCCTGCATCCCCAGCGCCCAGACCGCACTGGGCGCAGAGGAGGTGCTCAGCCGGGCCACTGCCTGTGTCTGTGTTTGAGCAAGGCTTCCAGTGGGCCGTGTGGAAAGGGTCCGGGCCCTCCTGAGAGAGCCAGGAAGGGGCTGCATCGGGGGAGCAGGGGTGCAGCAACTCCACTGATGTCCCCCTAAAACAACTGTCCCCATGGAGACCTCAGCAGGACCCCTCAGAGCTGAAGTCAACTCGGCCGCCTGGGGGCAGGATGCTTGGGGCTTATATACACACTGTTCATGCAAAGTACACTCGGGAGCATGGACAGGTGAGACTGAAGGTTGAAAGACCCTTGGGCAGCAGCTAGTTCAAGTTTTGTGGTTCCTGTACGTAGTAGGTGCTCAAAACATGTTTGTTGGAACTAAACTCACTACCTCGCTTTGTCCTTTCCATCTCCAGACAGCTCTGGTCTTACAAAGTCCTGCTGTGGGGACTGTGCCGCCCGCCCCTTGGTCCTCTGCTTTGGCCCCAAGCAGAACCTGGGGCCCGCTTTCAAATAAGTGGCCTCCAGGGGGCAAGGAGGCCAATGACCCAGGACCTGGCTCTGGGGCCATCCTCCTCTGAGCGGTGAGGGCAGCTGTAAAGGGACAGGGAGTGGGAGGGGGGACACACAGTCGCCTGGCCAGCCCTGGGAGTCATCCCTCTGGGCCACAAACCCCGAGAAATAGGAAGTGCCACAGCCTCGAAGAGCAGCTGTTTCTGGGGGTGCGTGTTGGCGTGTCGGGCCTGGTCTCCAGTGGGAACCGGTGGGGACGAGGGGCTGGGATCTGGTGGTTCGGCCTCACCCCAGCGCCCAGGCCCCAGCCTCTGTGGCTCACCAAGGCCCTGCCAGATCCGTCCTGTGAGCACAGGCTTCTCCTGCCCCTCCCTCCACACGCGCCCGAGCACACACACACACACACACACGCAGCCGAGCCTTCCTTCCACCATCCAAAGCCTGCAAACCCCACCCCAGCTTCCATTTCTAGCCTGATTGCACCACAGGCCCTTTGCTGCCCACTTCAGCCCACGCCAGCCTGACCCATCTCCGGAGACGCTCAGAGTCACCCCCTCACAATTAGCACACTCTTTCTTTTTTTAAATCCTCAGTGGAGGATATTTTTTCCGTTGAGTTTTAGAGAAAGTGGGAGGGAGGGAAGGAGGGGGAGAGGGAGAGAGAAAGAGAAACATCAATTGGTTGCCTCTCACATGTGCCCTGACCAGGGCCGGGGATACAACCTGCAACCCAGGTACATGCCCTTGACCCAGAATCGAACCCAGGACTCTTCAGTGTGCATGCTGACGCTCTAACCACTGAGAAACACTGCCAGGGCAGCGTGCTCTTTTTTTTTTT